TGTGCCTGTGCACGCATGGCTGCTGCCGCTTCCCCTGCAGGGCTCTCCCGAGCCGTCGGAGCCCAAAACTCCTCTGAAAACCCACCTTTCTCCGAGAAAGGCATCAAGGCAAGGAGGGCAGGAGGGATCTGTGCAGGTTGCACTCCACATGATCCATTCTCCCCCAACACCCACTCTCCCCCAACATGTCCCTTTTCCACCTTCTCCTGCATTTAAGCAGCAGGCTGGGAGAAGCCGGGCTCTGCTGAGCGACACGGCTGTTATTAATACTCCTCCAAAGAGCTTTTTTGGCAGCTCCCTGGTTTTCAGGCCCTTCTCCAGGCAGACAGGGGTCAGCGTGACGGATACCCTGCCACCGGGAAAGATGCTCCCAACATGCTGCCTTTGGCAATAGTGTTGCCGTGGCTTGGGAGGCAGGAAGCGGAGCGGAGAGGCTCCTGCTGTGCACGCTGGGATCAGCCCTGACCATCCATCACACCCAGCCGGGGCCACGCAGGGGGCGAGCGCGGCCGAGCGCGTGAGCCCTGGGATGCCTGGGTTGGGTCGTGTCCCCCTCGCCCCGACACTCACTTCTGCAGGAACTCCTCCAAGCCGCAGATCTTGAGCACGAAGTCCTCGACATCGACGGCGTGCAGCTCGTCGTGCGTGTAGCACAGCGCCTGGTAGATGAGCAGGTCCACGGTGGAGGAGCCTGTGGGGAGAGGGAGCAGCGTCCTGAGCCTCGGGACTCCTGCCCAGATCCTCCACCCAGGTGTCGGTGGGGTCTGTCCCTGCCTCACGTCACCCCGGTCCCCCTCCGATCGCCGCACGGGGGGACGGGCGAGCGGCTGCGGGCACGGGACACTCACAGTCGCAGGTGAAGGTGAGGGGCTCACGCAGGCTGTCGCACACCACCGTCACCTTCAGGCTGATGCCATGGCCCAGCTGCTCAGGGCTGAGGTTGACAGCGTTCCACACCAAGCCAGTGATGGAATAGTCCTTGGTGCTGTAGCCGGATCGCAGCCTGCGGAGGCAGGGACAGGTCAGAGATGCTGCCCTGCTTTTGGTTTTGCCACACTTTCCCCCCTACCAAAATGCCTATTTTGGGGCATTTTGCAGTGGGATGCTCCAGTCCCAGCCGGGTACTCACACTTCCAGCATGTGGCAGAAAGCAGCCACCTCCTCATCCCGCTCCTCGGAGACTTCGAAGAGCTCATAGCCGTTGGCGAAGGAGTGTGGCCGGGGGGCAACCTATGGGACAGAGCATGAGCCCGTCAGCCGGTGGCAGTGTCCCCGGGGGCTCCAACCCGCTGCCCACCCGGGACGGGGTTTACTGGATCCCCCCATTACAGCACCGGCCACCGAGAGCCTTTGCTCGCCCCGGCATTGCTGCGGCCGGGGGAAAGGCAGCTCTGCAGCGGCATGGGGGAAATCCAGCAGAGGAGGGGTTTGGGCCACAGGACACATCATCCACCATCACTGGCACCTTCCCCACGGCTGGGAGAAAGGAAACCCAAGGTCTCGCTGCCCCCAGCCCCCTGCCCACAAAACTGGCCATTTCCAGGCGGTTTCCAAAAGCCCCAGCGGGGACGTTCCCCAGCAGAGACAAGGGATGGGCAGAGACGGACCCCAGGCTGGGCAGGGACTGTCCTGAGGCCGCCAGGGAGCTGCAGCAGAGCCCTGCCCATGCCCAGGCCCGCACGC